AGGTAAAACATGCTAAATAAACACCAAATAACCTCTGAAATAAAGCCAAACAAAGCTAGGCATGCATGCTACCTTTATAAGCCTTAAACACAAGCTAAAGAGACACAAAGGGAGAGGGGTGTCCCTCCCCTATGAAAGACCTCAAAACCCCTTCACCATCACTGAAAATCCCCTGGATTTCAGTGGTGAGAAGGCCAATACACAAAAATTCCAAGGCTTAACAAAGAAGGCTCAAAATGAGGCCCAAACAAGGCCTAAGAGGGGGTGGACGACCCCCAACACCAAAATGGCTTCAATGAAACATATTAAGCATGCAAATATGAAACTTTTTTTCAGTTTATATCTAAGCTTAAATCATCTTTCAAGTATGGCTAAGATATGGATCAAAATAAAGCCTTAAAAGGGGGATGAAGCATACAAGGGTGTGGATGACCTCTAACAGAAAAATGTCCTCAAACAAACTTCAAGAGGAGCTCAAAATAAGACCTTTTCCAGTTTATGATAAAGCTCTAAAATGCTTGCAAGTATGGCTAAGCTATGAAGCAAGATAAGCCTTAAAAAGGGAGATGAGTGTGTTACCCTTGTCGCGAAGAACTCCAGCAGCCTTTGGTCCCAAAAACCAGTCCCTTAGCCTCTGAAAACAAGCTCCAAGATGCTTGGATGGATGATGGAGAGGTTAGGTTATGAGGTGTGGGGTAATGGAGCCAAGAACCTTACACTTTGAAGCTAAAATGGAGGAGATATAGAGGGACAAAGAGGGATATATGTGTATGTGCCCTAAACTAGTTCTAAACCTGGTATATGGAGAGGAGAGCCTTCCTTTATAGAGCCAAGAGAATAAAGCTTCTCTTAGAAGCTTCAAACCAAGAGCAAAGATCCTCCATACACGTGTATGGAGGATCCAGCCTGTGCCCTCCAGCTGGCACAGATGGCATCCATTCAATATGTAGAATACACCAGAAGGTCGTCGGCTAGCAAAATTGGTCAGTCGGCCTTCTATTTGGTCGGTCGGCCATCTGTTCTAGTCAGTCGGCCATCTGTTCTGGTCGGTCGGCAAGAAAAATCTGCTCTGCAGGTCCAACTTCAAACGGGTATAACTCCTTCATGTGAACTCCTTTTCAGGTCATTCTTGTGTCCAAATTGAAGCCCCGGAAGTAATCTTGCCAATGGAACCAGCCTTGAATCAATTCCAACTGTGCAAAAAGTTATGCTTGTTTTGGTAAAGGTTGCTCAGCTTCGGTCCAACCGGGATGATGCCCAACTTCAACCAATCATATCTCCCCCATCCGGACTCGGCTTTAGGAGATTCTTGAGTGCAAAACGAAGCCCCAGAAGTCTTCTTTCCAACAGTGGTGCCCTCATAGCTTAACTTAGAGTGCATAGACAGATAAACCTGATTTAGCGAGGACTGCTTCCGACAGTGGTGGCCTCATGGCTTAACTTAGAGTGCATAGACAGATAAACCTGATTTAGCGAGGACTGCTCGACTCTCTTTTCGAGATTCATGCCCAACTTCTTTCTCAACTAAGTTTCTTCTCTCTTCTCCTCTTTTCTTCAACTCCGAACCTTCGAAGAAGGTGTTTTGAAAGATTTTTCAAAGACTTCATCTCTCTTTCATTCATTTCCACTTTGTCCTTGCTCGTTTTACCGAAAAGCGCAATATTTAACAAAATGTGAGCCTCGGAGCATCGCAGAAACCTTTTCAAAAATATTTTGAAAGAGAGGTTTTTAAGATGCAAAATCTTTTGGTCCAACAATGGGGTGTGAGGTTTGGATTTGACGCTCTCCTTGCCAAAGAAACCGACCTTTTGCGTAGCATAGCCTGCACATCTTTCACTCCCAAAGAAAACCATCAGTAACGCCTAAGTCTTAAGGGCGGTCAAAAATGGGGTGTCTACAGATGGGCCTAAGGCTGTTCTGTATTTTGTTAGGCCTAAGGCCATTTTACTACTAAAATGGGCCTAAGGCCGTTTTGTACTACGATGGGCCTAAGGCCGTTCTGTATTCTATTGGTCCTAAGGCCGTTCTGTCTTATGTGGGCCCAAGGCCATTCAGAAAAGGAAGAGCGAGTGAAATTATGATTTGTGAATATGCACTGTTGACCTACGTTCATACTTTTTAATTTATTTGTACTACTATCATTCACTGAGCCTTGCTCACTCTACTTTCCTGAATGTTTTGTAGGTAACCAACTTGCGGGTCAACCCTAGGTCTGCCCAGAAGCCTGTAGCTGAACTCGTTTTGCTGCGTCGCCCAAAGTGACTCTTTTGTTATATTTTGGAAAATCCCTATGATGGCATGTTTTATTATAATTTTTGGGAACAATAGATATGTATATAGATATTGTTATTACTTAACTTTCGAGTTGATCCCCTTTTGCATTTTGTAATGGGAATAGTATATGGAATGTTATGTATGTATGGTAATGCAACATGATCGTGGCATTTAGACACAGCTCAATGAATGTTTATTCTTCTATTATTTTGCTTTCGTCCAGGCCCCAAGATTGAGAAACGTTTAAAATGACTAAGTTAAGGCCTGGAGTCAGGCCGGGCATGTCCAAACTTTTAGGGGCTGGTTTGGGTCATGACAACGATACTGCTGTTGAAGTCTCCCAAATGGTCTCACAAACTGTTACTGGCCCCCATATGACCTTCCATTCTGTTGATGGCCATTATGTGGTGCACCAAATTGTTGTTGCTAGCCAATATATGGCCTAGTGAATACCTTGGGATTTCCATAAAGATTAGGACCCTTTTATTGTTTGAGCATAGCCCTTACATTACTTGATCCACCAAAGCATGGATGAACAGGAGCCCCTTGGAACAAGAATGGAGCATCATCCTTACCATGGTTCTCTGTAGGACCAAATATCCCTGGATCTGTCCCATCATAGAATAAACAATCATTGTCGAAAATCTACAAATCACCACTACCTATGCTGTTTAACCTCAGGCCAACATTCTTTCCAATTTTTTGAATTCCATCAATCACAATGCAAAATCAAGTGCATGAAAAAAGAAAATAATCCATATTTATATTCTTTAATAATTTTTTCCCAGTTTTCTCAACAACCAAACAAAGGACCGAAAGCATAATCTAGAGTTTGGAGATTGTAAAACAAAGGACCGAAAACACTAACCTTTGATCGATGGAGATGAAGAGTTTCAAATCCACAGAGATAAATCACAAATAGAACACCACCACTCAAATAAATCATAAAACTGAAGCAAATTTTGAAGGATTCGATTGTTTTTTTTTGAGATTGTAGATAGCGGTGCTCAAAATTGAACTTCAAAATTGCAATCACTTTGAGATGAATCACTGAGCTGAAGAAGAATCGAGACAGAGAATTTCATATTAATTCGATACTCATGGACTAGAGAGAAAGAGAGAGCAAGAGAATGAGAGATTTGAGTGAGTGATAGATTCAAACTTCATACTATTGACGGAAGTGGGTTTTCAAATAAAGGTTTGGAGAGACGAAATAGGGTTTGTAGAGAGACAGGATTTGGAGGCGTTTCCAAGCGTCTTTTATTCATAAAACGGGACCGTTTTGATTAATAACAAATGCGACGTTTAAAAAAAGCCGTTAATTATTAGAAAAAAGTGACATTTATTAAAACACCATTAATTAAACACCGTGACATTTCCAATTTCCTGTAGTGTAATGAGAAGTTAGGTGATTAAGGATGTCAATGCGGGTGAATTATGAGAAATATAAAGAAATAAAATAAATATTTTAAATATATATTGATATATAAAAGTAAATATATGATAAATATTTATAACTGATACAAAGTATTATGTAGCATTGCCCCGTGATTGTTGAGAAACTTGAGGTTCAATTTATTTATTTTTTTAAAAGGAAGGTAACAATCTGCCTCATCAAATTCCCTACAAGTTTGAAATGGAAAAATAGATGACTCCTAATATAATATTCAATTTAAATCATATCCATTTTTAATGTTATCATTGACCTAGTGATGTGACATGGCAAATACTAAATCAAGGCAATAACATCCCCAAATCACTAGTTTCAACACAAATTAATATAGCAACCAGTGTACATCCCAAAATGCAGACTCATCAAGACTATGCTCCAATAATTCCTAGTTTAAGGTAGGTTAGAATTTTTCTCCCGAATCTTAGTCAAATACATATGAACTAATTTGTGCCTACTTTTTAACACTAGAAATAAGTTAAACTTTGAGGATGTGTTTAGATCTTAAATTTAAAGAGAAAAAAAAAATTCCTTTTTAATTTTTTATTTTTACACTACACAAATGCTTACTCAAATTTAAATTTAAACACTATCTTAATGGATTTGGATTCAAAACTGAAAGTCCTACAAGAAATGAGAATAGTTTGCTGATTGAAGAGAGACTCTTACCTAATAATTTGAGATGTTCTAGAGCCATATGTATGGGGACAATTTACACCTCAAAACTTTCAGGAGGATAGTGCTTCTTTTTTACATTGGATTATTAAGAAAGTTGTAACTCTAGCCAAGTAATTTATGGAAAAATTGTTCAATAGGCAAGAGAGATAAAGGATTCTAATGCTTGTGAAATCAAGTTATTTTATTTTATTTTTAATTCCATGAAGCAATGTCATCTGCGTGACTATGGGCTTCATTATTTACAAAAGAAATTATAGGAATCAGTTGAAATGGTGTCCTAATTCAAACTTTATTAGATAAATTAATCTATGGTCAAAAACTTCAAAAATAAAATATGACAAGTGCTACTCATCACTCATCAGCAGTTTAAAATCTTGTTTCTCCAAAAGCATATTCTAGGTCGACGTATTTTCAAGTTATGGGATTTATCTACAAGGATGGATAGAAGGCTGTTCCAGGCTTTGTTGGACAAGAAATGTCGAAAAATTTATGAAATTGATCGAAGATAATCCTCGTTTGCTCTACACTTCCGCGTTAGAAAATGAAGAAACTCCTTTACATATTGCTTCTATGGTTGGTCACTTTAATCTTGTGACAGGGATCATGAAATTGAGGAAAGAATTTTCCCAAGAACTCAACGAAGACGGTTTGAGTCCATTGCATATTGCCTCAACTAATGGGCATGTTGAGATTGTGAAGGAGCTTTTGAAAGCAGATCACAAACTCTGCCTAGTTAAAGGAAGAGAAAGAAGAATTCCCCTTCACTATGCAACAATCAAAGGCAGGGTTGATGTGATAAGAGAACTGATTTTAGCTAGTACAGATTCTGTAGTAGACGTGGCAGCCCGAGGAGAGAAAGTTCTTCACTTGGCTGTGAAGAACAACCAATTTGAAGCCTTCAAAGACTTGGTGGAACATCTTAAGAAATTCAACAAAGAGGATGTCTTAAATAGGAAGGATGACCAAGGGAACACTTTCTTGCACCTTGCAGTTTCAAAAAAACAGTACAAGGTATATCCGGTCTACCTATGTTATTTCTCACGTTTTCATTTTGAGAAATGTTACATAGAAAAAATTATGAAAAAGTTACCCTTTTGTCTATTCTGTGACTTTCTTGTTTAAAATTTTGTTTTTGTCCATACAATTTCAATTTGGTTTTTCTATCTTTGCTTCTAACCAGGAAAAAAATTGAGAAGGAAAATTATGAGGTAGCTGAGATCCTTTTCCCACCCCTCCCCCAAATCTTTATACCCTTGCACTCCCAGTTACACAATCGTGCCTTGATATTCCTGCGTTTCATGACTCTCACCACATCATACAATTTGGATTGTATTGGACATAAGGGGATGGGATTCTAAGGACAGAAGATCCCTAACCCCTACTCCTATGTAACTTCTCTTGGTTTGTTTGTTTTTTTTGTTTTGTTTTTTTTTTTTTTTTGTCTATTTTTTTTTTTTTTGTTTTTTCGAACAAGTGATATTGAAAATTGTGAGCAAGTGATTGACTTGTTGCTGAAGAAAAATGCTATCTCTAATGGGGCATTAGAGATCAATTCCTTGAACAAGAAAGGTCTCACAGCTCTTGATGTTTTTCCCTTTTTCCAAAGCGAAGCAGACATTAGAGAAATCAAGGAGATCCTTAGGCAAGTCGGAGCTATGATAGCAGAAGAGTTGCACTCTGTAACACAACCTGGAATGAATCAAAATCAAGCTGTTGTTGCAATTAACCTTTCAAGTGATTGTAGACACCTTATTTTTGACCACCCTTAAGACTTGGGCACTACTGATGGTTTACTTGGTGGATAAATGTGTGCAAGGCAAAAGTTCAGTTTCTTCGGCAAGGAGAGAGACAAATTTCAACTTCATACCCCTTTTGGACCAAAATAATCTTGATCAAAAGATTTTAGACCTTGAAACCCTCTCTTTCAAAATGTTTTGAAAATAAAGTTTCTACGATGTTCCGACACTCGCATTTTGTTAAATGTCGCGCTTTTCGGTAAACTGAGCAAGGACAAAGTGGAAATGAATGAAAGAGAGATGAAATCTTTGAAAAATCTTTCAAAACACTTTGTTTAGGGGTTTGGCGTTGAAGAAAAGAGGAAAGGAGAGAAGAAAACTAGTTTGGGAGAAGTTCGGCATGAATCTGGGTAGGACCAAAACTACGCGGCTTCACCAAACTAGGCATAACTTTTTGCATAGTTGGAATTTTAATGCAAAGCTGCCACCATTGGAAATCTTACTTCCGAGGCTTCAATTTGGACACAAGAATGACCTGAAAAGGAGTCCATATAAAGGAGTTATGGCCATTTGAAGTTGGACCTGGAAAGTAGAATTTTCCTGCCGATCAGAAAAACTAGCTGGCCGACCAGGAAAAGTGGCTGGCTGACCGCTTTCTCTGAAAAACTGGTCAACCTACCAGAAAAAATGGTCAGCCGACCACTTTAACTGGTCGGCAACCTTCCTGCAGATTTTGAAGAGTCTGTGGATGCCAGCTGTGCCAGCTGGAGGGCACAGACTGCATCCTCCATACAGGAGGGATTGGATCCAAGCTCTAATCTTCTCCAAGAAGCTTTAGTTTATGTTTTTCTATAAGAGAGGGTCTCCCTCTCCATTCCACAGGTTCTGAAGTTGGCCAATAGTGATAGATATATCTCCCCCTCTATATTCTTCTCTCTCTCTATATTTTGTGCCTTAAAAAGTTTTATTCCTTCACTTTTGCACTATAACTCCTAGCCACACACCACCATATTTGAGTTGAGATCCTTGGAGGTGGTTTTTGGGTCATAAGAGTTGGTTTTGGGCTGGAGGAATTGCTGTTGTTGCAGTGCTTCAAGGGTAACCCATTTTCTCCTCTTTAAGTTTTGTTTTTGGTTACTCTCCTAGCCATATTTGCATGATGATTTGAGCTTAACTTTATACTAGAAAAAGTTCTTTTTTTCAGTCCTTGTGATGTCTGTTTAAGGCCTCTTGGGTGTTGAGGGTCTTCTACCCTCCTGCATGCCGTATTTGGCCTTTTTTTGTGCCATGCCTTAAGGCCTTGAAGCTAGTCCTTGCTTAGCCTTTTAACCACTGAAATCCAGTGGAGTTTTAATGGTTGGCATGTGGTTTTGAGGTCCTAAATCAGAGAGGGGTGATCCCCTCTCTTATTGTTTTGTTTGCTTGCATTATTGGCCTATCAAAGGAGCATGTGTTTCTACTATTTTGAGGCTTGGCTCAGGTACTTTTTGTGACTTCTAGGACCTTCCTTGACTCTGTCCATGGCTGATTTTGTCACATTTTTCATGATTCTTGTATGTGTAGTGCAATCCCATTTGTGGCTCATCAAAGTAGCATGTCTTTCTAGCATGTATGGGCTCCATTTCAGTAGGTTTTTGGTCATTATTTAGCATGTCATAACTCTGTCTAAAGTTGGTTTGATAGCCTTTTGCATGCTTCATGTACTTGTAGTATAAATCTTGCTTACTAGCTTTGTATGCATGTTGTTTTGGCTCATCATTCTAGCATATTTTGGCTATGCTCCAACATGATTTTATTCATATTTTGGGCTGTTCTAGGACTGTTTTGGGCTGCCATGGTCATATCACTCATGTTTTGTATAGTTATAGTGCAAATGCTTTGGCTAGTCTTGAGTTTTGAGGTCCCTAGCATGCTATATTTGTGATGTTTTCATACCTTGGCATCATTTGGCATGGAATTTCAGAGCTTATGTCTTTTCCATACTCTCATGTTTATCACTCTTTAATTGTATTTGAGAGTTGAGGTTTGTGCCTTGCTTGCGAGCCATCATTTGGGCATGCTTTTTCTTGCTCAACATGCTATCATTTCAGTCCATTTCAGCCACTGTTTTGACCTGCATTAGGTCTGTTTTGAGTGCTTTAGGTCATTTGAGCATTGCTTGGTACAGTTGTAGTGTAAAGCCCTTGACTAGCTTTGTATTTCAAGTCTCTTGGCATGCTTTATTTGAGCTATTTGCATGATATGGCTTCACTTTGCATGTAATTTCAGAGCATATAGACTTGCCATGCTCCCACTTTTGTCACCCCTTGAGTGCCCCTAAGGGTTGTGTTCTTGTTGCCTAGCTTGTGGACCAATATGTGTGCATGTGTGTCTTGCCTTTTGGTGCCTTAGTCTTGGTGTTATGGCCACTTGATTTGGGCATGACTGAGGTCAGTACAGCTTCGTGACAATCCACGGCTTTGTCTTGGAACCTCTTCACATTTTTGAAAATCTCTTCACCCTCCCGCTGCTTTTCCTTACATAAGGCAAGTGTGGTCACTTTCTCAGCCACCTGAAAGAATTTGGCATGGAATTTGTTGACCATCTCCTTCCAATTTCGAATAGAGTTTAGGGCCAAGTTAACGTACCAACTATATGCTTGGTCGGTGAGGGACTTGGAGAATTCTCTCAGTCGGAGGACATGATTTGAACCATGAATCCCCGGGATTCGAGTTATTCGAAAGCTTGTAATTCTGATTTGAGATGACCAGTGCTCTGTTATGAATTGCAAAACAAGATGGTACCTCTCACTACAAAAGGCGTTGGTACTAGGTCTAGCACGGTAACAGCATACACACACCCTGTAGGTCTCTGCTCAACCTGCTCACCCCTCAGAGCATAAGCCTGATGCACTAACTAAGTCGAAAAGGCTTCTTGATTGGCCCTCGAGGCTTGTGCTGACTGTGCAGGCTAGTGACTCTGTGTCTGCTTCGAACTAGAAGCACCAGGTGTGCCACCCAATTGAAGGAAAAACCTCTTCATGTGTCTCGCCTGCCCACACTAATAACAAGTGAGCTACTGCCCTCTCCCCTGACTTTGGCTCTAAGAACAAGCCGAAGACGATGCAGATTGTTGCCCTCATCCTCTCTACGGGCAAGCTGGAGACTTGTGGCCTAGCTGACCACACTTGAAGCAAGTTACATCCCCCTGACCACCTCTTCTAGAACCCAAACTCGACATTAGAAAAGTGGACCTTAACTGAGTTCCTTGGGACGACTGACGGTTAGAACCCCTCTGCCTCTTACCGTCCCCTTGACTATCTTAACTCCTCTTGGAGCCCCTTATCTTCTCCTCCTCTGCCTGCATAATAGTCTCGAGATAGGCCGCCGCCTCCACAAGGTGCCCATAGTCTCTAATCATGGACCCGGCCACTCGGAACATGAGACCGGTCCTTAACGTTTTCTCAAACTCCACACAGCGGCGCTCCTCAGTTGCCACCAACTCTGGTGCAAACCTAGACAAGCTTGTGAATGTGGCCTCAAACTCAGCCAATGGTGTATTCAACTGCACCAGCATAGAAAACTAGTCCCTCAACTTCTCCCTAACAGTGGAAGGAAGAAACTTGTCTTGGATGGCGCTGACAAAAGCCTCCCAAGTTCCTCCAATGCGCCCACGC